CCACCAGTCCAGCGCCAGATTTATGAACGGTTTACCTAGTAGTTTTTCCAGCGATCCCATGTCTTGTCTTGCCTGCCACGTTACGACCTTGTTTATGTCCTCTGGTTYCACGTCTCCTGCCTCGCCCCTGTCTGCCACCGTCCCGGATTCTGTCTCTCTGGTTTTGACCCTCGCTCTCGTTTTTGGATTCCTSCCTTTCGCCTCAGCCCCTATTGGATTTGCCCAGCCATCGGACCCCCGGATCTCGACCCCCGCCTGTGTACCACAACCAAGAGTTAAGTCTGATCCCCTTAACCTGTCGCCGCTCTCTGACCACATGTTTTTGACCCTCGCCTGTCTCACGGATTCTCCTCAAGCCTGCGTACCACGCCGCAGCGCCAAACACGGAAGTGCCAGGAACCACCGTCACCTGAGACTCTCAAAGTCTTTCAAAGTTTCGGCTTCCAAAACACTGGTACTAAAAAGGTTAGTGACTATTTACTGCTCCAAAGCTCTGCCACTGTCTTTGTTAGTCACTAACCTGGTCATTTTTTTGTTTAGACCTCCGTGTCCCGGTGACGTGTCGGTCCCGATCCTGCTGCTCCAGATTTAATAAAATCCTTAAATCGTCTCTGTGTCTGAGCATTCAGTGAAACTCACAAACCCCATCATTACAGTATGATCATTTTCTTTGACAGATTGGCACATATTGGCACAGAATGGGGAGGTGACTTTTAAACCATGGCTCTAAAACAAAAAAATAGTTGTGGATTGCTAGATCTGCTGCTTCTTGGTCATTTTCTTATGTTTATGGCAGAGCTTCAGTAAGAAAACATGCAGATATATTAGTGATTTTAAACTGTTTACAATTTACTATAAACATTTTTTTGACTGCTCAGAGCCAGGCAGTGGTCTAAGTTGTCCAAAGATGTCTCTAACAAAATGCCACGGGTATCTCACAGACCATGACTTTACTTTTGTTTAGAAAACGCCTACAGAGGTCTATCGGACTGAGCGACTGAAGGATGGTCTGTGATGTGTTGAATAATTAATGGAGAAATAGCTGCCTTTGAGAATTTACATGCCTATAGATTGACAGTCAACACAGCCAGAGTGAACCATGGAAAAAACTCAGCTGCTCTAATGTGTTGCTGTCACTAAATCTGAGAGTAGCAGGAGAGCAGTTTCAGAATGGCTTTACCCTTTATTACGTTGCACAGATCAAAATACATCCAAGTAGCATTTTAATCTTTTTTAGAGTTTTAAGTTTCAAAGTTACCTGAATCTTATCATGGTTGTATCAGGTCTGATGCTGGAAGAAATGTCCAGCAGACCCAGACTCAGGACAGGCATCCATCTGTCTCAATCAGCTGGGTTTTTGGGGACAGTTTGTGGGGACTGGTTCAGGTGTATTTACTTCTGGAAGAGAAGCAAAAACAAAATTGTTACATGCTAATGTTATCGATAGAAATAATTAAATCAAACAAGTAAAGGAGAGAGACTAAAGCTAACAGCAGTGTGAGGAATTGTTGTCAGTTTGTCCTCCAGCAGTCTGTCTATAGCAGCAGAAATGAATAATAATTCTGGAAACATGAGTCTAACTATAGGATTTATCAAAAACAGAAGTCTTCAGTCTAATCTTAAAAGTAGACAGGTGTCAGCCTCACGGACAGAAACTGGAAGTTGGTTCCACAAGAGAGGAGCTTGATAACTGAAAGCTCTGCCTCCCATTCTACTTTTAGAAACTCGAGGAGCCACAAGTAAACCTGCAGTCTGAGAGTGAAGTGCTCTGCTAGGAAAGTATGGAACAATAAGATGTTTAATATATGATGGAGCTTGGTTGTTAAGAGCTTTGTATGTTAGGAGTAATATTTTAAATTATATTCTGAATTTGACAGGGAGCCAGTGGAGAGAAGCTAAAACTGGAGAAATATGATCTCTCCTTCCAACTCTCATTAAAACTCTTGCAGCAGCATTTTGGATTAACTGAAGACTTCTTAAAGAGTTTTTTGGATGCCCAGATAATAAAGAATTACAGTAATCCAGTCTAGACGTGATAAATGCATGAATCAGTTTTTCTGCATCATTTTTGAACAAGTTGTTTCTAATTTTAGTTATATTACACAGGTGGAAGAAGGCGGTCCTGGTAACATTTTTAATGTGGGGGGTTAAAAGGCATATCCTGATCAAAAATGACACCAAGGTTCTTTACATTAGAACTGGAGGCCAGATTAATGCCATCCAGAGAAAGTGAAAAGTTTATTCCTAAAATACTCGGGTCCAAATTCATATCCTCTGTCTTATCTGAGTTTAGAAGCAAAAAATTAAGAGTCATCCATGTTTTTATGTCTGTAAGACATGCTTGTAGTTTAAATAACTGGTTGGATTCATCAGGTTTCATGGAAAAATATAACTGAGTATCATCAGCATAACAATGTAAATTTATCCCATGCTGTTTGATAACTTTACCTAATGGAAGAATATACAAAGTAAAGAAGTTTGGTCCAAGCACTGAATCCTGATCCCAACAAACTTTAGTGGCAGTAGGAGATGTATTGAGGATAATGAGGTGATGTTCAATAGTTTTGTGACAGTTTATGCAGCTCAGAGCCATGCTAAAAGGTGCACACACGGGTAGTTCAGAACATTTGTTATTAGATGAATCACTCTCAACACATGCCCCAAGCACTCACTGGTTTTATAATATGTAATATGCATTTCATCAAAATGCAATAGTTTTATAGTTTTTAAATACTTTTAGATGACTGCAGGGTTTTGGAGCAATGTTAAAGTGATTTCACAACAACGTTTTACTAAGTATTGTTTATGAAAAACTGGATGTGGTTTTTATTGTACAAGCTTCCCATTTATTTTATTTTTATTTTTTTCCAGGCATGAGTTTCAATTACAGAGTTTCCTTTGGTGAGTTAACCAGACCCTGCTGCCATGAGGTCGCTTTAATGAGTGCACCGAGTTGAATAAAGTATGAATTTGTGGCTGAAAAACGGCAGGATGCCTGTACCTTTGTGTCCCAGAGAGCAGCAGAGTTGAACGAGTGATGACTTTGCTCTGTGGACATCAGAGCGATGCATCATTATGAAGAAACATCCGAATCACTGGACACGAAAACCACAGGCAATGAAGGATGAATGCAGAGAAAATGCTGAAACCATGTCTGACAGAATTTTCAGAGAAAAACAATAAATGAGGCAAAGATGGGAGTTCGAATAAACACAACAATCTGCAACTGTGGCCTTTTGGTTGGTGTGTGTTTGTGTGTGCGTGCGTGTGTGTGTTTTCTTTAAGCTCAATCTGTCTGAGAGAATTGAGAGGAAGGAAAAGAGGTCATGTTCTGGAAGTGATGGAGAGGCTGCCATTCTACGTTTTTAGCAATCACTTCCCACACAGCTGGGTCCCTTTGTGATGCGTGAACAGCTCTGCCTTGTTCGGAGGCTCTGCGTGCACGACTGCGTGCACAATGAAGACTGAAGTTTATGAACACATCAGATCGGAGCTGCAGTGTGTTCTGTTCTCTAACATCCAGTCATTTTTCACTATTCACAATTCTGGGGTTTTAAAGTCAGAGCTCACTTCATCTCATAGTGATTGAAGCTTCAATAGTTCTTAGTTTTAATTAGTTTGTTTTTTAATCTAATTATTGTGGAATGTTTTGAAGTGGTAAAAACTTTGATGACCAAAATCTGGAGTCTTTTCTGTACTTTTTATTTCTTCTAAATATTTCCTCTCGTGTTTTCAGGACTCATCTACAGTAATGAGAGTGTTTCTCTGGTCTGTTGCAGCGAAGAAGCTGAGCCAAAAGGCAAAACTCTTAATTAACTGGTCTGTCTACATAACAGTCCTCACCAGTGGTCACGAGGTATGGATCACGACTGAAAGATGTTGACTACAAGCAGCTGAAATGACCTTCCTTCAGGGGGTGTCCAGGTTCAGCAGGAGCAGCTCCATCATCTGGAAGGAGTTTGATGTAGAGCTGCTGCTGCTCATCGATTGGGTGATTCGGGCATTTGATTAGACGGTCCTCCCCTTGGATAATTTTCTGGGCACATCCCACTGGGAGAAGACCCTGGGAATGACTCAGAACTCTCTGGAAAGATTATAAGTCCTGTCTGAGTTTGGGATGTGTCACTGGGGAGAGTGATGTCTGGGTTTCTCTTCGATTACCTTTGTGATCTACCTAAATACTTTAAAGGAGAAATATCGTGCTTTTAAGTCCTTCTTTTTCACATTGAAATCATTCAGTTGGGGTCTATATAAAGTGGAACTGCAATACTTTGGTCTGAATTCCTCCTTATTGTAACTCCACAAGCCCTGCTTTAACCTCTTTTCTGAGGTGTGGCTCAGATCAACTCGTTTTGAGGCTGTCTCTTTAAATCAAAACTAGGCACATCACACCCAACCCACTCCAGCTTCCAGACCAGTTTATTCTAGATTGGGAGTTTTAGGGCTACATCAGTCTGGCCCTTCCCTTCACTGCTCTGTCTGGGATTTCTCCCACAGACATGGATGTCTTCAGGAAAATTTTCATTCGGGCCAATCAGAGAACAGAAGGCAGAGTTTTGAATGATGTTGAATGTCTGCACAGTGTCTGCTATTTAGTTTAACAATGGCAGTGGAGGAAGTGAATGAAGCCAGTCCGTGTTGATAAGGCTTCCAAATTAAATTAAATTTGTCTGACAAAGCAGCAGCTCTCATTTACAGTCGTCTCATTTGGCTCTGTACTTCTCTCCTCTCAGTAAGATTGTTTACAGCACATGTGATTTCCGGTTAGCTTCTTAGCTTAGCCTCCTTCACAGTGGAGCTGGCAAACATTTGTCGCAACCAACCAATCCAATCATTTTAAACTTAAACAGAGGCCACGCCTCCAGCAAGAATCACTTCTCTATAGCCGAGAGTCCAGACCCTTGTATGAAGCAAAGCGAAGGACAAGGGGCTGGTTTTAACCAGGCTAGGACTACATAGCAGTGCATAAACTTTTTATTTACAAATGAATTAAAAGATGTCAACAAGGGAAAACTTGTCCATCCAGCCTTACTAGTTGGAGCCAGAGTCTGACCCAGAACCAGAGTCTGAACCAGAGCCAGAGAAGAATGAAGATGTAGTTGGTACGTCCAGACTTTAACTGCAGTTCTCCAGTGAATACTGTGAAGTAATACATCATGGAAAATAGAGAAAATGGGACAGTTGAAAACTATGACCCAAACATAATATAAAGATGTCTACACAGCACCAGGAAAGACTAAATTAAAATTTTCTGCACTCCTGGAGACTCCAAGTACACAACAAAATGTATTTCATGTACTTAAAAAAGTAAACTTTGCAAATTTCCCCTTTAAACATAATTAAATGTACGATCACAATAGGCTTGAAGAAATTTATAGTTATTAGAGGTTAGTATTGATGTTAAAAGCACAACACTATATTTTTAGGTTTTCCTTTTTTATAATGTTGACAATGTTTAATCTATTATGTTTTGATTGATATAGATTAGTTACATGTCCGAATTATAACAACACATAATCAAACGTTGTGAGGACATTAGATGAGAATTTTGTCTGAATGCCTGTGATTCAGCCGTAGGTCAGTAGGGGGCGAACGCAGGCATTGAAGAAA